TATTTTATGTTTTAATATGAATGTATTGTGTCAGAGATGCTCGAGATATTCGGATCATACATGTAGCAGATTAGCATTGCTATCAGTATTACGTAGTTGGGCTGGAACTTTACAGTTTTGTAATCCAGATAAACCTTCTGGTCTTTCATCTATAATATCCATTTTGTATTTGAACCAACTAGAAGTCAGGGTATTAAAATCATTATACAAATCCGAATTAATTTAAATAGTTTTGTAGTTTTTTCATTAATATCAAATTGTAGAGAGCTGTGTTGGATCTTCTGTATGAATTAGTGGGTTTGCCACAACCTGTTTGGACTGATGAATATTCTGTGGCGGTGGCTGCTTTGGATCCTACTGACTTTCAGGTTAATAATTATTAATAACACTCAGAAATTAAATACTAAAAGTATATAACTTGAAGAGTTTTTTTTAGGATCAATGGCGACTAAATGAAGGATTTGTAGTTGCAGAATGTCGTAGTATTCTTCCTACATTAGTTAGTACTGTGCCAAGTCCCGCAGAACAACATTTAGCATTGCTTTTATACTGTTTACTCAATTCAGGGGTTCTTTCAGCCCTTGTTGAGGTCATCGTAGCTTCTGATACATTTATTTCAGTTAGAGCTACTATTCTTTTAGGTATGTAAAAATAATTTACTTATATTTCAATTGTTTCAAAACACATACTTGTATCTTTTAGGGAAATTATTAAATATGATGCATATACTGTTGCCTCCAGAAATTTATAATACAAGTCCAGCTTTGCCAAGTTTGATAGCTTATGCTTCATCAAACAAACCGCAGGCTCGCTTGCTGTTTCAGTATTGGAGAACTTAAATGCAATTATGGAATGCAAGCCAGCTTCCGCAAGTGTATTTTTGGATCAGATATTGCTTTCAGGATGCTTAGTTAAATCTGACTGTAATCTTAATGAATCTCAAAGTCCGACTTCAGACATATCACATTTTGATACTTCTAATGTAAGCCAAGAGAAATCTATAAAGTTGCAAAAGAAAATAAGATTTTTAAATTTTTTACGGGTCTAAGTAAAGTTGAAGATTTAATTCGAGATTCAAATGTTTTAATTGATAAAGATGGTGCTTCTTGGAATTGGAATGTAGTGAGAGCTGTTTAAAAGTGATTATTATTTTTAGTATTTTTTGAAAATCAGCCACATTTGTGATGTTTTAATTTTTTTTTTTAATAGAGCACTCCAAAAGGTGTTTCTGATGAATCACATTTGCGTTTCTTTCGGCGACTGTGCAATATTTTTCACCAAGTTGTAATCGTTTTCTCACCAAGATTTGGGACATGGACGAAATTCTTCACTTTGCGTATATGCTGGACTTGAGTTAGTTGATTGGCTAGTCCGATCTTCCCATGTGAGTAGGTACACAAATAAATGAATTATGGTGATGAAATTGATCAGTCTCGGCATCAGCTTTGCCATTACACATTTTTGCAAAAAAAGAATTTATTTACTGCTTGTCATTCTACTAATGAGAAATATTTATATTGTACATTTTCAGCCTGATTATACATGTCTTCTGCTTGAACTGTTTACTGATATTCTTCACATGTTACTGCCATTAGCAAATCAAAAAGTGCTCATGAATGCCTTTTTAGTCCTCAACATATGTTGGCCACTTTATGCCAAATGTATTTTCTGTACATTGGTAGATTATGCAAATACGAGAAAGGTTTAGAATTACTGCAAGAAACCGATATATTTTCAGAGTATGTAATAGTTTGACCTCATATGAATTTAAATTATTTAAATTAATTATATACATTGTTTTAGGTTTTTAATATTGTGGAAACAACTAATCACATTTGTTATGTGAAATTGATTGTTTCTGGACTAGATTACACGTTAGATGCAAGTCCCAGAAAAATTCTAAGTAATAAATTTTTATTTCTGCATTTTTGAATATTGAAGTTGCATTTTTTTCATTATATTAATATTTTTAGCTGCAGCGCTTCAGAGTCCTGTTCTAAAATCCAGACTGTATGCTACTCAATTTTTAATTGTTTTACTTAGAACAAAAGCTGTAGACTTTGTTGAATGGGGAATGCCATTGTTAATTAAGCAGATAAATGATAAGGAAACAAGCATTTCTCAAGTTGCTCTGGAAATTTTGACCGAAGCTTGTCATGATCAGGTTTATTTTGCTTTTAGAAAATATTATTTGAACAATTTTGTAAATAAATATTTTGCCAATAGTTGTATTTGAAAAAGCTAATGAAAATTTGGCCAACATTGCTAACTCTTGGAGATCAGGGAAGATTATTAAGAACACGTTTATTTTCAAAATTAGAATCTTTAAATTGTATGACACGTGAAGAAATTGTCACAAGTAGAACACTGGGCAAAATACTATAATAAAGGTAACTTGATTAATGAAATATCAGTAATTATGTAAGATGATTTATTAAATACACATATAATAATTTTAGATATGTATTAATTGTTGAATCAGAAACACATTGCTCTCTAACACAAAACAATCGCAATGCTGATATTACATACAGTCAACGAGTGAATTCAACTAGAAATAGTAACACATTAATACTGCCCACATTGCCCCCACATCTGTATGGACAAATTATTTGCACAAGTGTCGGTTTAGAAATTTTACAAGGCCATGGTATGATAAACGAAATGATTCAGGTAAAATTTCAGTAATATTTAGTAATATCATCAATTGCTTCTACGTAAGTTTTTTTTAATCTTTAGTTTATAGCTGAAGGGGTTAGCTCAAATGAAAATGACATTCTTCATATGAAGGCGTGTATCTGGGCAATTGCACATATGACAACGAGTGCACAAGGTTTAAAATACTTGTATTCAATTTGTGAAGACGTTATATGTAACATAATCAAACTTGCTAAATATTCTGAAGTCTATTCTGTGCGAGCAACTGCTTTCTTTGCTCTGGGCTTGATTGGTTCTACATTCTTTGGTGCAAATTTGTTACGAAAATTAGGTAAATTATTTCATAATAAAATTATAACATATCATGATCAATTGTTATGTAACTTAAACAATTTATGCATAAGGTTGGGTGTGTGTTCAGCATAACAGAAATGAAACATGGCCAATAATACTGAAGGATAATCTTCATGAAACCTTAAATAAATCTCGATTGATATCACAATCTTTTACCGGGAACCACGAAGTTGGTTAGCAAATCCTGATATTGAGAAAAGTTCTGATTCTTTTTCCAGCAGTAGTTGGAAAGAGTACGGAACATTTGGTAGAAATTATGAAACAAGGTAAACTTTGATACATATATATATATATATATATATAAATATATATATAAATAACAAAATTATTTATTCCATTATACGTTTCGACACTTGATGTGTGTCATCATTCAGTAATCTAAAAAACATTTAACATAAATGCACAAGTGATGATAAATATAAATATATAAAAGGAGGAAATTATACATACCAAACCATATAATATATATTATATATATATATATATATATATAATATTATTATTATCATTATCATTATTTTTTTTACCCTGTCCTAACATGACAAGAAAATTTTTGGATTCAATAATACAAAATCATGTGATCATTGACAGAGATTTTGAGATTGACAGAAACTTTGAGATATAAATGATTATTTAGAAATTTTAATAATTCATTTGTGTTTTATGTTAATAGCTGTCAATTTTTTTTTATAGTTCAATATCAGACCACTCAAAAATTGATACTGCTCTGACCACCGATTACGGTAAATTCATTTGTACTTATGAATTAAGTTTTTGTAAATATTATTAAAAATTTAATATTGACTGTTCTTTTAGATTATTCTAGTGAAAACCATAACACTAATATGCAAAGTAGTACAACTTCCTTGAATTCTCTAGAAACTCATGGTAAAACGGAAAGTAAATCTGATAGCAAACTTTTAGATTTTTGGAAAGATTGTGGATTTTCCTCACGGACATTTACTGATTTTACAAAAGTTCATGATTCTTTAGAAAACCCTAGAGATAATATTGGTCCTTGCTATATGGGAATCTGTCTTCCCATAAATATAAATGATATGTTTCCATCTGAAGGAACTGAAAAGAATAATGAATCTATAAATCAAGATATAGATAAATCAAGTGGCTGGTTGTCTGAGAAAAATTATAATATTCAATTTGATATGAGTAATTTTGATAATGAAACATCATTTAAGCATGATAAACAAAACTGTTTGCTGTGTTGTAGATCAGGAAAAGTTCAATTCAAACCAAATGTTTTGCCTAAATTATTGATTGTGATGAGAGCATTTCTCAAAGCTTTAGCATGACTCATATAGATGATAAGAAGTTAACATTTTTGATTTTAAAACATATTCAGCGAACAGCCAATCCAGTATGGTATAAGCAATCGAAACAGTCTTTACTAGAACTTAAACAAGCTCATCCTCTAGCTTTCCAGGACATTTGTTTGTATTCTGATATGTGTAACAGTATGTCAAACAGTACCTATAGACTTAATGCCAGAAGGTTTCTCCAAGAATTATTTTTGGACCTAAACTTCAATCAGTTTTTCAGTGAATGTGAATATATATTAACCAATTTGCCATCGTTAGATTTTATTTTACATCAAGATACAGAAAGTAATACTGAAGAGTCGGATGATCAAGCCTCTACTTCTCAGAGTCATTATTCTATGGGAAATAAAGGTTTTAGTAAGAAAGATGAATTTAATTCTTCACAAGAATTAAAACAAGAAAGTTCACAGAACTGCATAGCTTCTACCTCAAGTAAAATTGAACCAATTCAAAAGACTGATGCTCTGCGAGTGAATGTTTTGAACTTAAGTTGTACAAAAAATAAGTTTCCAATTACAAGCAGAATTGCTTCCCAAAGTGTCGATCAAAAACCTAGTTTTTTGAATAATATGAGGATTAACTAATTGTTCAAGATTCCAATTATTTTGAGGTGAATATACATAGCTTTAATATAATATATTTCTGCATTTTGTTTTTGAAATGTAAATATCTCATTCTTTCCAGATGTGGTTAATTTAAATATTTTTTTGTTGTGTCTTTACAATTTGATTTTTTTCTTTTTTACTTGTTATTTTATACAGGAAACTGAAGCTTTTATTAAAATTTTTTCTTTAATTTTCTTAGGGTTTTCTGAATGTTTGGCTCAGAAAGTATATGTATTTTTATGTGCGTATTGGAAGACTAATTAATCGTGAGCGTTTTCTTGAAAACAGCAGCGCAGATTAAAAAAATCTATTTCATTAATAAAACTAATTTTTGAGCATTGATTAGTTTTGATAGTTGAATTTTGGTATAATTAACGTTTGCATTCTCAGCTTATATAAACGCTCAAACTTCTTTTTTGTTGTTTTTTTTAAAATTCTAAATCATTTTGAAAATTTAAAAACTATTTGAATGATCTTAGTTAAAAATTGTGCGGAACAGTTTTCAGCTGAAGATCGGTCTAGCTGTGTCTTCATAATTGATTAAAATTGTTTGTTTTAAGTACTTTTTGGAAACTATGTATGGATATATAGTTGTCGGCCAAAAAGTACACCCTTAAGTATTATAGACTCATGAAAGTGGCTTAAATATAAAATTATTTGTAGTGGGGAAAATGACTTTAACGGACTCGGATGGCTAGATAGGCAACTGCGTTTGTAAATATAGCGTTATGTCAATGTATTTTTTTATGATTTTATTATTAATAGAAATAAATGTTGGGGTAAGGTGGGGCAAGTTGTTACATGGGGCACCCTGCTGCAATGCACATATTTCTGATTTTGTAATTTATTTTTATAATGTTGGTATACACTACACGGTTCAGACAAGTTCATACTTAACGTACATATTTAACGTCCATTGTTAAATGTCAGTTGTGATTGTTATTGTCCAAATTTTTACCGTGTTTTATAAATAACAAATATTAATCAAATTTGTGAAGTGCAGCGTGAAAAAATTGCGACAAACCTCTCGATTTCTTTTTCGGTTTATTATAATGGGTAAGTAATTGTGGTTTTTTTATGTTTCTTGTATTTTTTAGCCTCAAGTAAATTTTTGTAAACAGAAACTTAAATGACAATTGATACTGATACTGATTTATTATAAAAAATCATATAAGTTTGGAAAAATGAGTCGTGCAAAAATTTCAAAATTCTATCGTCACAATTTTAAATTGAGACGATAGAATGTGACGATTGTTAATAAATCACAATTATTATCGATTAAGTTTGATTATTTACATATTTTGGGAAGTGTTTACAAATTGCCTTAAGGCAAAATTTAACTACTTCACCTAGTTTATGGTGGATTTATACAACTTTTATATCTACGAATTTTGGAACAATAGAAGATTTATTTAAACTTGAATATCTAGAAATTTTAGACTTATATATCTAGGCTTGATTCACTGGTTTAAAATCTGATGTGATACACTGCCCAGTAAACCACAAAACGTTAATATTACGTACAGTTGTTACGTCAAACATAGCGGTTACGTAACGTAAAGGCACATTACACACCAGGCATATCATATTATATCTAAACTAGTGCAGTTTTCTTCGCGTTTTTCAAAATACATATTCATTTTTTTACATATTTTTAGTATTAATTATCTTCAAGTCTTAACATTTTTATATAGATTTTATTCCTATAATAATAAATACAAATAATTTAGCTAGCGACAATAAAAGTTTTCTCAAATTGCTGCTGCGGGTTAAAAGTTCGAGGGCGGTAAAATAGAATAGTAATAAGTAAATGCGATTATTCAACGTCGCCATCTTAATGTCGTGCAATCTGTTACCGGCTATGTTATGCCTCTTCCAAACTAATTGTAAGAATTCGTTTTGTTTTCACAGCTAGAAAATGGATTTTGGTTAAAAATGGTTTTGTATTATTCTTTATTTTATAGCTTTCAATAATATGTTTAAGGTTGTAACATTTTTCTGAGAAAATACAAATTTGTTTATTAATAGTATTCTGGTCTAGAATAATAAAAAAAAATGTTTTTTTTGTTTGATATTTTTAAAGAATAACTATTAAAGAATGTTTGCAAGAGGAGAAGTTAAATTATTTTGGGAGAGATAGTTGTTTGACAACGATAATCGTCTTTTTTTTCCTTCCTCTGCGAACTTTTAAACTAATAGTTTTCCTTGAATCTGTCTTCTTTGATACGATACCCACGATTTCTCAACTTCTACTGGACCAATTTACTTAAATTATTTTTAGAATCTTCTTTATAGATTTCTCTTGAGTATGAACTACGCTTATTCCCAAATACCAATTATTATTATTTTTAAACAATTCAAGAATATCAAAATAAAAGTTGTAAAAAAAGTATTTTTATTTCAGACTGTCGCTGTTTTGTGAAAAAAAATTTAACTTGTTTGTAGTTCATGCAATTATAACATTATTTTAGATAAGTAATGTACATAAATCATGGGTCAGGTGCCAATTTTTTGGAACCCATTGTCCACTAACTAATTAAAACTTTATGACTATTTTTGATTTTATTTTTTTATACTCTCAATATTGCTAGTTTTTTACGGTCTTTCAAAAACCGCACAAAATTCATACCTCTAGACCAGAACTTTGCCAGAAAATTCTCTAAATCTCGATATTATTTAATTAATATGAGATTAATTGAAGTCTATTATTTACACGTATCGGAAAGTTCATGCTTTCGTAAAATTACAATTGTTTTAAAACATTTAAGTAAATATCATTATATTTCTATTCAATATGATGCAAATATTATTTATATGGATTAAAGTTTTGCATAAAGTTTATTACAAAAATTTTATTATAAGTGATTATGATTTTCACTTTCATATCATTGTTAAATCAGGAAAGCATACAAATTGAAAAATGTGTATATAAGATTTGATAACAATTTTCTATTTTCTAAATTTTCACTTAACAATCTTATTTTCTTTTATTTTTTGTCACTTATACTTGTTCGTAGAGCTTTCCTTCTGCAACAATAATTTTCTAGGTTTTATTTCTGTCTCGGACAGCTTGATATCAAGCAGTAGTTATATCAGTTTTTACATGAATATATAGATCTAAATATGGTTGGAAGTGAAAATAGTCATTCGGGGAATTAGATATAGGGTAGATATGGGCACAAAAGTCCAATTTGATTTTCAGTACTTTTACTGTGAAAAACAAACCAAAGCACATAACACATATCAAACAACCAACTATCTAATTATGTTCAGTAAAATTAGTTAAGAATTTTTTAATTATAGAAATATGTCTTTTTGCTATTTTTCTAAATTTTCTCATCTGTCTCTTTTTACCACATAGGCAGGGTAAAAAGGGACAGATTCAATGTCTTATTTTTAATTTTAAAGATGTTTTACAAAATAATAGTAACATTATTCAACCAATGCGAATGCGATCACCCCCGCGCACAACCTTGATCTAGTATTTTGTGAGCAATATTCATTAGGAGAGTTGGATTAATTTGATTTATGTCCTGTGAAATTGCTTTTATAACTTAATTTACTGTTTTATTTACTATTTTCTTATTGTTTATACCTTTGCTAGTGTAAAGATTTAGTTGGTCCCTTCATGTAAGCTTTATATGAGAGGTTATATGAAAAAACTGTTAAATCTAACTTAAAAATAATAATACATCTTATAAAACAATTAAACAAAGTATACATGAGAATTATATTTGTGTGTTGTGAATCAAAGAACAGTGCCCAAAACCTAAAAGACTAGTAATGTAAAACATACTATTATCATAAATATTGATACATGGACGTTTATCTTATGATATCGATGTTGTAAAAATTAAGGCAAAAGCTAGTTACACATCCTTTTCCTTCTACTTTAAAATTGTATCGTATCGTTAAAAAATTTTATACTTTGCTTGTTGTTAGATAATGGGGGTGGATCTTTTCACACGAGGAGCTTTTAGGCCTCTCGACCCTTAAATGTCATCATACAGAAAAAGTGCAACCACTGGGTTGTCTTCTAATAATACTAGCTTATAAGAATTACATCAGAACAGCTCATTGAACATTAAGAATACTAGTTTTAAAAAATCTTTGTTATTTTAATAAATTCAATTCTACGTTCCTTTCCTCGACAGTAGAATAAACTGAATCCATTCCAATGGCTCGTGATTTATAGAATAGGCACTTGCTATATATTACATCACACCACCGATCTTTGTTGAAGTTTCTTTGCGTAATTCGGGTCGAATCAACGCATGAAACAAATTGCGCCATATTCTCAAGCAACGTTTTGGGACGGGGATAAGACGTTTTATAAACTGGATGCAGGTTTTGATCAATGATCTTCAA